ACTGCCCCCCTTCCCCTCACTCCCACCAGTCCCTGCCCCATTACCTTCTCATCCCTACCTGCTCCGACCCCTATTAGCCCGTTGCCCTTTCTCCCACAGCAGCCTCACCCATTACCCCCTCAATCCGGCCAGCTCCTGCCCCCATGACGCCCTCACCCGCCCCAGCTGAGGCTGTTGCCGGCGGGGGGAGGGGGGCAGTAGCCGACGGGCTGAGGTGACTCCCCAGTTCCCGGGACTCCGCGCTCACTGCGCGCCACCGCCCCCGCACCGGGCTGAGAGGAGGCGGGGGGAGGGTCATGCCCCAGAATGACGGCTGAGGTGACCCCGCCCCCTTTTGGCCCCTCCCGCCCCTGAACGTTCTCTCCTCCCTCCAATTGAAGCGCCAAAGCGCGCGCCAACTCCCGGCCCCACCCTTATCCCCACTTGATTGGCCGGAGCCCGCCCCGCCCTCTATGTGAGCGACAGCCCTAGGGCCAACCAGGGGCCGCGGAACCCAGGCCGCCTCCTTTCCTCGGGAAGAGGGCGAGGCCTGCATGTGACGTAAGATGAGAGGGTAGCAACAGTTGCCTCGAGACCCCGCGCGAGGCGCCATAGTGACCGTAGTCGTGGAGACTGTTACTTGCCAACGGTAGCAACACGCAGCCCCGGCAGCCGGAGCCCAGCGCAGCCCGGGGAGCCCGGCGGGGAGGACAGGTGAGAGGGCAGGGATGGGATGGGGTCCCTGAGGGGAGGCGCCCCCATCCCCTTTGGGGTGCGACAAGACTGGCCCAGGGGCTGGAGTGACCCGGTGTGCGGGCTGGAGTGAAACTGGTTTGGGGGGGGGGGCAGGAGTGACTCCGATTTGGGTGAGGGAGGAGGGGGCAGTGGTGGCTCTGGTTTGTGCTGCGGGGCTGGAGTGACTTTGGTTTGGAGGCATGGAGGGGGCTGGAGTGACTGGACTGAGGTAGACTAGTGTGAATCTAATTCGTGGCAGGGGGCAGGAGTGACTCCAGTTGGGGGGATGGAGGGGGCAGGAGTTGCTGGATTGGTGTGGACTAGTGTGACTCTAGTTCGTGGGATGGGGCTGGCGTGACTGGTTAGTAGGAGAGGGAGGCTGAAGAGCCTGTGGTGGGACAAGGAGGCTGGAGAGATTCTGGCTTATGTGGGTGGGCGCTGGACTGACTGATCTGGAGGAGTGGGGCTGGAGTGAATCTTGTTTGTGTGGCAGTGTGAAGGAGGGACCTGGAGTTTATCTGACTTTAACTCCAGTCCCACCTCCTCTAATCTAGTTTGTGCCATGGCTTCTCCCCTGGCTTTTGGCTGCATGCTACTTATTATTAATGTAACTTGTTTTCCTGCTGCCTCTTTGCAAACTTTTTCCTGTGGGTGTTGGGAGCTGTTGCTCAGAGGTTTTTCTGCCCAGCCCCTGCCTGAGGTATTTTTGATGGGGGAGGCTTATTATCAGATGATGTACACAACACAGTGGCCTCTTCTCTGTATTGGAGGGAGCCTGCCACAACACCACTCTCCTCCCAACACTTTCTCCTGCCTTTTCCTTTTAGTGAAATGTTGCCTTTAACCAATTGCATAGCGAAGGTGAATTAATTGCTCTTACCCTTTCTCATAATACAAGATCAAGGGGACATTCAGTGAAATGGAAAGGTAACAACTCTAACATTGATTAAATGCTTTTTTTTTACCCAATGCATATGTAACCCGTGGAACTCACTACCACAAGAGTTTAGCAATATTTTACAGAGGATTTGACATGCATGTAGATATTGAGAGCATCTGCTGTTTTCATTAGATAGGATAAGATTGTATAAAGTATCTATACCCTTGTGCTTCTGGGCATAAATAAACCTCCACTGATCAAGGTTAAGAAGAAACTTCCCCTGTGGGTAGATTATTCCTTAATTGTCCACTACAGAGTTTCTTGTGCTTTCCTCTGAAGCATCCAGTTCTGGCCACTGTGAAAGACAAAGATACTGGATGAAATGGAGCCATGTTCCTCTGAAACATTTTTTCCAAGGGTTTGGGTTTTACATTTTCTCTCATTTATTTTCTTTCTTTCTTTCCATTTAATTTTAATCTCTTTACTTCCCTTTCTTTTCTATCACTCTTATTCTGTAACTTTTCCAGTAACCACCATCATGCAAAATGATTTAATAGGTTTCTTTTAATCTTAGTTACCTTCTCTTTTTTAAAAAAAAAAACCCAACAAATAAAAATCAGCCTTGGGACTCAAGTGTGGCAGTGAGTTGTGTTTCTTTACCCTCTGGTTATCTTGGAGGTGGGAGAACTGATACAAATGTTAGGGAGTTCAGTATCTCTAATGATGATAAATTATTTCTTCCTATTTTTGTGCCCTGAATTTCACATTTTGATGTTTTGTTTTGAACAAAAGTATTCCCTGAAAGAACAATTAGTTGGTATATAGCACTGGCTAAAGTAACCCGTTCCTTCTTCTCCTTTTCACATTGTAAGTTTCTGGATGCATGGCATGAATGTAAATTAAAAAGAAGGAAAAATGGTAGCTGACTCAAGTAGCTTCTTTTTAAAGAACTTGCATAAGCTTTGCTCCCTATTTCCTCCTCCCCTTTTTCTCCTGGGCTTTTATATTAACTTCACATCCAGCAAAACTAGTTTGGTTTCCACCTGTCATTTATTTGATTCAATTCTCTGGAACTAGCAAGTCTCACTCTCTGTTTTCCCTGCAGTTTGAATAATATGTGAAAATCTAAATAGGAACTTTGTGAAGCAGGTGCAGGCTATTCTTCACTTGATTGCTCCTGTTTATTTTGAATAACACATGTTGTGATACACCAAATATCAGTGTAAGAGAAGATCCACCTCAAATGGGTCTATTTAAGACTGAGTTCCTGTAGACTGACTACATCATTCCATTCTTTAACTTAGATACTAATCATCCTACCTTTTAATCTTTTTTGTTGAAAGATGCAAAATCTTGTTTGTTTATAGTACTTGAGGTAGAGTTGAGTGAATACCTCGCAACAAATGATATACATTATTTTTCTGCACTTGGAATATCCACAAACAGATTATTGACTTCTTCAATTACATTGTTCAAGATTATTTAACGTGTTTTTGTTCAGTTTGTTTGAAAATGTATGAACTCTGATTGGACTAAGAATAGTTTCCTGTGAATATACAATAATCGCTACTCAAAATAACTTGATTAGTGGTCAGAAGGAAAGATAAGCTTGTGTTTACAGCTTTGGCCTTGGACTCCAAAGACCTTGCTCTAGTCCCTTAGGGCCAGGTTTTCAGTATCCACAATTGAAAGCAGACTTTTAAAAGTACCTTGCACTCAGTAGGTCCTCCTGTGATACTTATGGCTACATTTTGAAAACTTGGTGCTGAGGTCTTTTTGAAAATCTTGATATTGCCAGCACTGTTAAAAAGTCATGAGATTAATTTAAAAAGAAACCAACATTTATTGCTTAAAACGTGCCTTCTGTTTTTAGAGCCTCTAGACTTCATGTTTTCAAGCTCCTCTCTGAAACCATGAGGGCTAGAAATGGACTCTTTTTAAAGGAAAGGTAAGAGTCTCATGTAATTATTTGACTGCAGGAGCTGGGGCTTTAAGAAAAACAACAAATATAGTGAGAGTTGGCAACACTGACGTATTTCTCTGTGCCTTGGTTCCCAGTCTGTAAAATGGGAATGATACTAGTGCTGAAAGGATAATGAGAGGATGAATGTTTGTGGGATCTTGCAGTACTACAGAGGACTGAGGGAGGGGCATAGAAGGTTGCATGGTATTGTTTCTGTTCTCTGAAAGTCTGCACAAGCCCTTCTGGCTTGGCTATGCACAAATTAGAAATTCATTTTCTATATAATCTTGGGTATGACTTGGAAACTTGTTTTCTGTGAAGTTTTGTGCCAGTTCCATATATCTCTTAAATCTCTGCTTTATCACAATAATATAGGACCAGACACAGGGAAGTTCTGAGCACCCACAACTTCCACTGAAATCAAAGGATGTTGGGGTATTTGGTATCTCTCAGGATCAGACCCTTACATTGCAAATTTATAACATCAGTGCTAAAGGGAAATAAATCACAGTTACTTATATTTAACCGAGGCTGTTTCTTTTTATCCTCCACTCATATGATTTCTAAGCCAAACTTGTTCAGGACTGATATGAGAGTGTCTAATCTCAATGGTTAACAACTGTTTCTTTTCTTGCTGGTTCAAAATTAATAATTGCATAGAAGAACAAATTACTTTGGTAGTTTTTAAATAGCTTGATGTTTGTAAAACTCCAGAAGACTGACAAATCTTAACTTTAATAGAGATCTGGTTTCTTTTTTTAAATACAGTCTGAAAACATAGATGACTGAATTTATATTTTGCCCAATTGTCCAGAATTAGTACTGAAAATGTTCTCTGAATCCAAATGTATCTTATGGAGCTCAGAAACATATAATGACGAGGGCCTTGCTGATTTAATAGCATATCTTAATGCTACACTCTTCAGCAAAAGTTTCTGGTGAAGACTGCTGAGATATATTTAAACCAGTTTCCCCCCTCTGCTTTTCTAGAAACAAATGCCAGCACAGTTAAAGTCTGGAAGCATGCCAGCTGGAGCAAAGTGCTGTCCTGACCAGCATGCCAGGACTTGAAGTGGGGTGCTGAGTAGACAGTCTAACTTACTTGAGCATTGGTAACTGCAATCCTGTGATTTGAGATTATATTTCTGATATGTGAAACATATGGATTTTTCTTTTGTTCTGTCTGTGCTTTGAGACTAGGTATTTTATCTTATTCCTTTATTCAGTTCTTTATTTCTGTGTTCAAACATTCACAAATCCACCTTATTGTCTGAGAACGTACTGGCTTTCTTCAGTTAAACTGTCCCAGTGTCGGTGTAGCATGTGAACTAATTATGATGTGAATCTGTTAATGGGCAACATAATATATCTTTTCAGGCTGAACCATGTACACCTTAATACATTAGGTAACTAGGAATCCTAATGTGCAGGGAACCCACTTACAGGGAATTTGTGTTCATAACAAACAATGCAAGACATGAATTATTCCAGTGCACTGCACTGTGCGAATCATATTTCCAGCTACAGGGAATCCTCAGCTTTGAATGAAGTTGTTCTATGAAAAACTGCTGTACTTTTGTCTTAACTAGCTATTAAAGAACAAATAGAAAATACCAAAATTCTGCAGACACCACTCAGCTGTTTGTTTTTTTTAAGCGTGTTGAGTTGTGTTTAGACATATGATTTCATCTCTTCGATCAGTGAAGGAATTCTGTTACTTCCCCTTGTTTAAAGAATGTGCTTTCTATTCTGTATGAAATTGAAGAGCGTGGGACACTTTTGAGGTATGGTGATGAGAATAGAGGGAAACACTTCAGGAGATTTCTGTTCAATGTAAAAGTGGTAGGACTTCTGCCAACCATGACCTTCAAAATTTTTTGATTTGTGTTCTGTTGATTTGGTGCTAGGTAGGGTTTGAAGATCTGTACCAATGCCAAATAAGGGCATTTGTAAAGTAATTTACATATCATGATGGGTCTAGATTCTTTTGTTATTGTTTAGAAGAAAGAAAGTTTATTCTTCTGAGCATAACGTTGTCTAACATATATACAGGAAGACTTCCCAGCCTAGTTGACTTCTACTATACTTGTGTTAATCTCTGCTAGAAATTTTGCCTTCTTAAGTGGGCATCGCAGTTACACTTTCAAAGGGACCAGTATCACAAAACACTATGGTGAAGATGAGTGTGTGGAAGGCATCTGCAAGTGTAATGAATCCTCTATGGATACATAATGTAATCATATGTGGCTACATACCCTATGTGGGTATTTACAAAGTAACAACAGACAAAGAAAACTGATGTTCGCACATTCATCTTGTTCTCTTTGGGACATTTGTTAGAAGAATTATTTAAACGAGGAATAGCTTTTGGGACTGGGGATAGACTGTATAGATGTGATAGCACATGTGTCCTCACCATCACCATGTACTATCACTCATGATGAAGATGGACCGACTCGACCAGATTCATCCCTGGTGTAACTCAGTGATGTCCTTGGACTTATCCTATGGGTGAATTGGGCTCACTCTTATTAACAAATATCTGGGAGCTAACTTCCAAAATCTTGCCCTATGTGTGGGGAAATACATATAGATGTGTCCTAGGCCAAAATTGAATGTAGTCATGATCTTTGTGTCAGAGTTGGTATGTTATCCATTCAGCTTCAAAGAGTACAACTGATGAGACTGGTTTTTATTACCATCACAGTTATTTGCATGTTACAACTAAATCTTCTGATGGGCTTATTAGGTTTTCTTCTGATATTATTAAAAAAAAAAAAAACTGGGAAGCTCTGATTTTTTTAAGGGATGGCTGGTTCCTTTGAAAGGAATGTGTTTATTTTAGTATCTTTTGAAAATGGCTTATTATGCTGAAATGGGCTTTTTAGAGGAGATGATCCTATATTAGTGAATTTAGGCTGGAGCAACTGCACACCTCTTAGCCACCCACCTGTATCCAGAATGGCTAGTAAATATAGGCCCTTGAACCCTAAAGTGAGGATTAGTTACAGGAAAAGACATGGGCAGGATGCAATATTGACCTTATGAAATTTTAAGTCTGCTTACTGGAAACAATCTTCAGTG